GAGATTAGCAGAGTTTATGGAATCTGAGCTACAATTATGAGTTTCCTCATAATGCTAACAATATTTTTAATGCTTTTATTCAATAATTAAAAAATATCGTTGTGAAATAAAATTCATTCTTTTACATTTGATAACATTAGTGTTAATAAGCCTGTTATAGATAAATTGTGTAGGATTATTAATCCTAATTTTTGTGTTTTCTATTTCATGTTCGTTTGCGTATGTCACATTCTTAATTTAATTGTGTAAGACGGTATGAAACAAATTAAAGTCAATTGGATGGAATTGGGGATGCACTAATATTTGTAACTGACATAAGGCATAGATGGAACTCCACTTAATATTAAAATCATGTAAAGGATATGAACATTTAATTATAGATTTTTTTAACTCTAGAATATAAGAAATGACAATGAGTCTATTTTGATTGACGTTGATTGGTAATTAGACTTTAAAGTTAAAAAAAAATTTGACAAGTTTTTTAAGATTCCACAAATATCTTATCTTGGGTATAGTACCCTACTAGTTTAAGTGTTCTAGAACGTCTTTTTGTTATTGCAAGAACTTTTAGCTTTTACTAATATATTGGAATTAAAGTTGAGAAAATATTGGGAAGACTTGCTTATGTTATTTCCTTTGGCATGAGTAATGGACCTTAAGTACAATTTAAAATGTACTAAATATGTTATTATCCAAATCACACACTCCTTAAATTTTGACACAAATATCACTTATTCAAATCTAGAAAATAAGTTAACTTCAATGTATGAAGTGTATGCAAAGCGATTGGATGCAAATATTAGTCGGACACCCTCCGCACCCACCCCTTCTGCTAATCTTGAACGAGACCATACAAAACTAGTGAATTTATTTGAAGGCATTAGGGATGAAAGATTTGATGCATGAAGTTATTCTTCTAGTATGTCTCCCGTATATAGTCAAACATTGGATGCAAGTCCAATTGGAATGCCTATTGAATTACTCAAGTACTCAACTATTTTAATCATCAAATGCTTAGGAGCGTAGATATGGGATGGGTCAACCATTCCTATCCCAGTCCCGTCAAGTATTTTTGTTACCTTGTCACATCTCTATACCTAATTAAAGCGGGACGGGACATGGCAGGATCGAGGTGGGGTGGGGTAGGTCTCCTGCCCCATTTATCACCCCATTTATTTTTTCTTTATTTTATGTATTTAGTTAGTAAAAATTATTATCTTTTTACCAATTTTTTTTAAAAAAAACTTACGTTCTCTATAAAAATGATATAAATCTATTATATTTGTTTGATAAAAAACTTAAATTTAAAATTAACTTTAAACAAGACGGGTAGTGGGGCAAGGACTATGTTTCCTGTACCCACTTCGAGACAATGACCCTCGCCCCGTTTACCCGGTTAGGCGGGTAATTCCCGCCCCAAATGGGGCGGGACCCGCGGGCACTGGGTTGAACGGTTTTTTTGTCATCCATATGCCTATTGATGCAATACAATTTGATTTACTTAACTTTTGACGAAAGAACGAACGAAGATGTCCAATTATTTTTGCGATTGCATAAGATCTACTAACACCTCCAGTTAGCACTATAGCTTTGTAATCTGCTTTTAGGGTAAGTTAACGAAATCAATTCAAGGTTAGAAGCTGACTCAAAGAATACAATTTGGAAGCATTAACATGCGCAAAGGATTGGCAAGACTCTCATTTTCCAATAAAAAATAAGTTGGCGAAATTGCGTGTAATCAAGTAAATGATATTTAATTTCGTCATACAAACTTTGTTATTTTCTTAATAATATTTTGATTTTTAAAAAAATTATACACACAACAAGTTGTTCGTGTACAATTTTAATTTCATCTACTCGAAAATTAAGCCCATGTTTGATGGCTATTATTTTTAAAAAAATGATGTTTTGAATATTATTTTTAGAGAATGTGTAGTTAAAAAATATGAAAAAGTTTTGGATTTACGTGAAAATATTGTATTATATGAATGTGTGGTTGAAAATAAGTACGAAAATTAAAAAAAATTGTTTTAAAGAGAGACAAACATGGGCTAAGTAGCCAATCCTAAACCCGGATAAAATGAGGGTTTTCAAAATAAATTTTTAAAATAATTTCATATCTAATTTCAAATCTCAATTCAATTTATTATTTATACATTTTACTTCTACAACTTTATACATTTCATATTCATACAATTCAATTATTTAAACCTCATATCAATTCTCTACATTCAATTTAATGAAAACAAAGAATGCTGCATTTTTTAAAATCAAGCCTATGAAAACAAAGAATCTATTTCCTCGAGTTCCAAATATCGTCATTGAAACAGCACATTTCATTGACGATACCTGGAACTTGATGAAATAGATTCTTTGTTCTCATATGCTTGATTTAAAAAAAAAATTGTATATATAACAAATTGTTCGTATATAATTTTAACTCCGCCTACTCGAAAATAAGTAGCAAATCCTAAGCCTAGAGAAAAGGAAGAGGGTTTATTTTAAAAAAAAAAAAAAAACGGCAAGCTTGTGGGCCAATCTCAACTCTGCTAGACCCATGAGCTCAACTCGTCTCTTCAACAAGCCGAGCTCGTGGGTAATGAGCGGGATTGCCCATTGCCACCTCTAACCTATTCCATTTGTAGAAGAAAGCATAAAAATTATAATAAACTTACCAACAACAGAGTCACTTTGGAACATTTGGTCGGCATCGCTTCTCCTATCCTCACCAGGGCAATCATTAGTATGAGCCCTAGAAGCATGAGATTCTGCAAGCCGAGCATCATCCTGATTCTGTATTGACTCCCTTCCATCCATGAGTGAAGTGTCATGGACAAGAACATTATCTGAAAAATTAGAAGGAAATATGGCTTCATCTGCAGCACCAGCTACAGAGTGAGAGAAGCTGCCCACCCCACGGCCTCCCACTTCCCTTACTGAAGAAGCACCACTGACATAAAACACTGAAGTTAGAGAGAATTAGATTCGAAATAGCATTGAATATCAAAGAAGCTCACCTCTTTAAATTACACAACTGCGCCTCTTTCTCCTCCAACAAAATCTGAAGTCGTGATAACTTGAGATTAAGTTTTTTATTCTCTTTCATCAGACGGTTCACAGTATTCCTGTCAGAACTTATCTTCAATAAAGCAGGGATGCGTAGATTAGCTAAGGATAACAAAAGAGGAGTCCAACTTTTCTGGCAATAATGATATGTAGAAAAATTAAGACTTCATGTTTGTAAGTTGTCAACAACCTCCTAATGGAAGAAATGAATTGGAAAGACTATAGCCAAATTAAGCCCCTGCCTAAAACGAAGCTAGATCAAAGTTTTCCCCTTAACAGTTAATGCCTATATTAGTCTCGAAATAACAACTATATAATTACAGAATTATAAACAAGGTATTTCTTATAACTTAGGGACAGGGCATAGTTCAAAGTGGTAAGAAAAAAGCCTGATAGGACTGCATTCAAGCCTCCTTTTAGGGGGAAAGGAGGGGGACAGGTGAAATCCTCTTATCTCCTTCAAAATTATTGGGGAAAAAAAGAAGAGAAGGTATTTCTTATAACTTCGACTAAAAAGAAACCTCGATTGTGAGTAGAGACAGTCATTAACACCATTCGAACGAAAACTTAAATTGAATGTTTCAGATGATTGCAAAATATGGCGAAAAGCAACATAGACAAATATTTGCATTCCATGTGGTTAAACTCGATCAAGTTAAGGGGACATATTCTGGATAAATTAAACATCAACAACTCCGACCTGTCTCTCTTCCTTTCTCCAGTATTGAGGGTTCCAAACAATGCAGAACCTTAAGGAGACCAATGAACATATGTTATATAAAATTGAATTAAAAGCATCATGCTGTCATATACAAGGAAAAACTTGAAATAAATCAGGGAATTCTTCACCCGGGGAAACTACTGCCATGACAATATCAAGTCAAACTAACGAAGGAGATGCCACGTTAAACAAATAAACGCTATCACTTATAACCATAACTACCAGAAAGCAAATGAAAATGTAGCAGTCTATACTGAAGGATATGAGTGCCATTAAAGATCTCACTCAAGAAATTCCTAACAGAAAGGTGCAAGGATTGAAACCACTCCTCTGAAAAGTACACGCGAAACTGTGGATCCAAGTGTGGATTCTGAATGTATGGAATCGCTGCATAAAACATTTGTAAAGAGATTTTAAATGCCTTGCGAAAAGAAGAAGAAGAAATCAATCAGATAACAAGGGACAAAAAGACTCACCAAACCATGAACTCCAATTTTGATCTCTCATCAACAAGTCATTCCCAATTATCCCCAAAAACTCCATCACTTTGTCTTTCTTTCCATACTTTATTGCATTAACAACATAATACCGCAAAATAGACTGCTCTAATGTCGACAGTGTAGCGAACAGTGCAGAATCAGAATGAGAAAAACATCGCTTGAAGAAACTGAGCAAATCAATCAACTTTTCAGCCTCGAATTTGGGGATATAAACGGAGAAAATCAAATTTAAAATCTTATCGACTTCAAATCCCTTGCCAATATCACTTCCCAGCTCTTTTCCAAAAGAATTGAGAGTTTCTGTAAATCCTCTAAATACCAGAAATTCTCTAATGAGTTCCTCTGCAAATTGAATGTTCTCCATGCGCAGAACTCAAATGAAATGAAAATTTTGTTGGGCTTGAAATTGATGATTTACCGTAAAAATTAGGAGTTAAATTTCAACTTGATTCAATTCCGATCGTGGGCACAATTTTTTTGTTATTTTATAAAATGGAAAATTGCAACTTCGGTCCTCAACCTTTCATTTTGCTACAAATTACACCCTAAACTCTTATTTTTGAGACCACAGTCCCAAACCTTTATATTTAACTGCATTCTTGGGCCAAATCATAAATTACGTCGGGTAATTGGCGCAAAATGTCCCTACCTATGACGGGTTTTGTGGAAAACGTCCCTATATTTGATATTTTTGTGCAGAGCGTCCATACCTTTGCATTTTCTTACGCAAAA